TCCAAATTCTCATTTACTTAATTCTCACTTTTTTCAACTATACCAACATGGTATATTGGTAACTAATCACATAACTAGCTTAAAATTCTTCCTCCTCTAATAATTCATCTTAAAAAGAGAGTTAGTTAGAAGAATATCTTGGATTTACTTTTATGAGGGAATACAATATATATTTTAAAAGAATGGCCTTGTTTTGATCACTTTTGCAGCTGGGTGATGGTAATATCAAAATTCAGTACTAATCCCTATTTATTCATCCCTGAGGATTTCATAACAATTTTCTTGTAAAACAACCAATATATAGGCGTCCGTTTAATACTATTGGTGGCAATCAACTGGATTCAAAATCAAAGTGTCAGGCTGCGATGCCACATTTGGCCTCTGGGCGCCGCTGTCGGCCAGTGCTGGGCAAGTGCTGACGCCGGAGATTCCCCAGCCTCTAGTCTGGGATTTCCTGCGCCGCCACTAACCGAGAAAGGAAAGAAACCCGCTTACGCACTGGGGTTCCTGGCCGCGCACTCTCTCTCGCCAGCATAATTGGACTCCTAGCTCTCCGCCTGTTCTTGGACGAATGCTCTTCTAGAGACAGAGTGGACTGCAGTGTCTTCGGCTTCCGAAAAGACCAAGCCAAGGGGAAACTAGAGCGCGCGATGGGAGGGAGCTGCGCTCGGAGGCGCCGGGCCGGCCGGCCGCAGGTACTGTTTGCCTTCCTGCTGTCTTTGTTCTACTGCGCGCTCGGCGAGCCCATCCGCTACTCCATCCCCGAGGAGCTGGCCCAGGGCTCGGTGGTGGGGAACCTCGCCAAGGACCTAGGGCTCAGCGTCCGGGACGTGACAGCTCGGAAGCTGCGAGTTAGCGCTGAGAAGCTGCTTTTCCATGTAGACGCGGAGAGCGGGGACTTACTCGTGAAGGACCGAATAGACCGTGAGCAGATATGCAGAGAGAGAAGAAGCTGTGAGTTGCAGCTGGAAGCCGTGGTGGAAAATCCTTTAAATGTTTTTCATATCGTGGTGGTTGTTGAGGATATTAATGACCATGCGCCTCAGTTCGATAAAAAGGAAATACATTTAGAAATTGTTGAATCTGTATCCCCAGGCGCACGAATATCCCTCGACCCTGCCACTGACCCCGATATAAACATGAATTCAATAAACGACTATCAGATCAATTCTAACCCTTATTTCTCATTAATGGTTAGAGTTAATTCAGATGGTGGCAAATATCCAGAGTTATCTTTGGAGCAATCCCTGGACCGCGAAGTGCAGCAGTCTCATCGCTTGATACTGACTGCCTTGGACGGAGGCCACCCGCCGCGAAGTGCCACCTCTCAAATAGAAATCATTGTCAGGGACACCAATGATAATCCCCCAGTGTTCAACACAGACGAATATAGAATCAGTATTAGTGAAAATCTGCCCCCTGGCTCCTCCGTGTTGCAGGTGACAGCCACTGACCAGGATGAGGGAGTCTATGCCGAAATTAACTACTACTTCAGGAGCACTGCTCAGAGTACAAGGCACATGTTCTACTTGGACGAGAAAACGGGTGTGATTAAGAATAATCAGTCATTGGATTTTGAGGACACAGAAAGATACACCATGGAAGTGGAGGCAAAGGACGGAGGTGGTCTGTCTACCCAATGTAAAGTCGTCATAGAAATCCTAGATGAAAATGATAACAGGCCAGAAATAATTATCACTTCTCTCTCGGAAGAAATTTCGGAGGATTCCCTTCCAGGAATAGTTATTGTCCTCTTCAAAACACGTGACCTGGATTCTGGAGAAAATGGAGAGGTCAGGTGTAATATAGGAAGCGGTGTTCCTTTCAAGATTTATTCTTCTAATAATAAGTACTACAAGCTGGTGACAGATGGGGTCCTAGACCGAGAGCAGATTCAGGGATACAACGTCACCATTACAGCTACTGACAGGGGTAAGCCTCCACTCTCCTCTAACACTACCATCACCGTGCACATCACAGATGTCAACGATAATGCTCCAGTGTTCCATAAGGCCTCCTACTTGGTCCACGTGGCTGAGAACAACCCTCCTGGCTCCTCCATCGCTCAAGTCAGCGCTTCTGATCCCGACCTGGGACCCAACGGCCACGTCTCCTACTCCATCGTGGGCAGCGACCTGGGGCCCCAGGCGCTGTCGTCCTACGTGTCCGTGAACGCGCACAGCGGGGTGGTGTTCGCGCAGCGCGCCTTCGACCACGAGCAGCTGCGCACCTTCGAGCTGACCGTGCAGGCCCGCGACCAGGGCGCGCCCGCGCTCAGCACCAACGCCAGCCTGCGCGTGCTGGTGGGCGACCGCAACGACAACGCGCCCACCGTGCTCTACCCCGCGCTGGGCCCCGACGGCTCCGCGCTCTTCGACACGGTGCCGCGCGCCGCGCAGCCCGGCTACCTGGTCACCAAGGTGGTGGCGGTGGACGCTGACTCTGGACACAATGCCTGGCTGTCCTACCACGTGCTGCAGGCCAGCGAGCCCGGGCTCTTCAGCCTGGGGCTGCGGACCGGCGAGGTGCGCACCGCGCGGGCGCTGGGCGACAGGGACGCGGCCAGACAGCGCCTGCTGGTGGCCGTGCGCGACGGGGGCCAGCCTCCCCTGTCGGCCACGGCCACGCTGCACCTGGTCTTCGCAGACAGCCTGCAGGAGGCTCTGCCAGACCTCAGTGACCGGCCTGAGCCCTCAGACCCCCAGGCCGAGCTGCAGTTTTACCTGGTGCTGGCCTTGGCCTTGATCTCCGTGCTCTTCCTGCTGGCGGTCATTCTGGCCATTGCCCTGCGCCTGAGGTGGTCCTCCAGCCACTCTGCTTGGGGGAGCTGCTTTCAGCCTGGTCTCTGTGTCAAGTCTGGACCGGCGGTTCCTCCCAACTACATGGAAGGGACTTTGCCTTACTCCTACAATCTGTGCGTTGCCCAATCTGGCAAGACGGAGTTTAATTTCCTAAAATGTAATGAGCCCTTGCAATCTACTCAAGATGTAGTTTGTGGTGATTCCTCTGGGGCCTTAATTCCACTTCAGAGTGAGCATGATTTGACTTCACATCCTGAGAAGCTAACTCTGGTGAGTTTCGTGTTTGTATCTTCTCTAATATTTTATCAGTTTATTTTAGGCAAGGTTTTTTATTTTTATATCTAGAATCATATCTTAAAAATCCATAACTAACCACTGCCTTATCTTCTTAATGTTTACTATTTGCTGATTATATTTTTCAACATTCTTGGTTTATAATTTGCTCTGTAGTTCCAAAAGAAAGTCAGTATTTGCAGCTATCTTGTCAAGCATAGATTAGCAGTCGTTTTAGCTTCTTACCAAATAAGCAAACAATAAGCGATCTGCTAAGATTGAAGATTGAATTTCCATATCTTATTTGTATATTTTAAAAGTTTACTAATATTCTGGCGTTCAAATATCAAAGTAGGTGCCCATTTGTTAGAAATATTTATCGCAAATAATCTGGCATTTACATATCATCTTCATTTAATATTTTAAAAACTGTAAGCATTGAGGTACACAGTAAGTATATTCATGAATACCAACAGTCACATGCCAGATCATAGATAAATGCATTTTTCTTGGGAGAAAAGTCAAAACCTTGTTTCCTTTGTCAAGATTTCTCTTTCTTGAAAAACTTACTATTATCCTATAGATATTTTTTGCTTTCTTTTTTTCTCTTCTAGCTTTTATTTCTTTATTTACTCACCTTTTCTGGGAGCTCAAATTCTACTTTTTTCCAAGCACATCTCTCCACACTGTAAGATAAAGATTTTCCACAAAAGCAAATGAAATGACACTGCCTTTTTGCTTAGTCTCTGTTTCAGTTTGTCTACTATAAAAATCTTTGAAGACCATAGATAAAATCTTTGAAGAGTTGCATACTGTTTATGACTTCATGTTCTCTGTAGGAAGTGATCTCTAAATCTGTCTCCTTGGGAGGAGAACTGCTGCTGGATTGATGGGCACATACATTTAGAAATGAATAAACCACTTGTTTTGTTTTGAGCTTCCATACAAAATGCCAAAAGGAGGAGTTATTATGTTGGCAAATGTCTTGATGTAATCAGGTTATTTTACAGAATACTTTTTAAATTTAAAAAAATTTTAACATCACTATTTGTAACTTCATTTTTAAAAATTGTATCACTGGAAATTCCTGTGTTTTTCTTCCCATTATAGCACAGACATATCCCTTTTAGTTTGTGGTTACCAGTTCAACTGATTTAAATAGGTCAAATTAATTTAAAACATGTCTATGAAATACATTTTCAAAAAAAGATTCATTTAAGTTCAGTAAGTTTTTAGAAAATAATGTTGTGAAAACCTTTCATATAGTCTTAATGCTAAACATTTAACTGCTTAATTTAAAAGAAAGCCTGAATTATAAGTGGTAGATCTCATATAAATCTCTATATGAAAGACTACTAAACATAACTGGACCATTTCAGTCACATGTGTAAATAAAATTCAAAGATTTTTATATAGCTAGAAGTTCAGTGGAAATAAACATTACTCACCTTTTAATGTGGGTACATTTCTTTTGGGAAGATGTGTTGCAGATATATATATTTAACCGATTACTTTCATTTAATATTTTATGGCGCTTTCATTCCACTTCATCCTACCCAGTAAGAAATCTACAAATAGCAGTTTCTTCAAGGGTATCTGTGGAGACAACAAAAAAGTAAAAATACTCCACAAAGATAGAGCGACCTTTGTCTTCTATTATATATAGTGGGTGCAGTAACATCTTAGGACTCTGAGCGCCGCTGTTCACCTACTAGGAGAGAAATGCAGCCTGCGCTCGGTCCAGATTCTCGGGGCTCCAACTACAAAAAGCTCCACAGTTTCTACAAGCAGTCTTCGGGGTGCGGCGAAACACACCAGAATTTAAGGTGAGAGGGCTCCGGAGACACCCAGCAGCCAAAGAAAAAGGAACCGGTCAAAACACACAACGTGCCCTGTGAGGACTGCGAGAATTCCGTGACCAGAACAATGGCCGCTCAAAGGAATCTTTCCAAGCGCAGAGCGCTGCTGCTGTTGCTGCTCTCCCAGTTCTTCGGTATGCGGTGGGAGGTCGAAGCTCGGCAGATCCGCTACTCCGTTCCCGAGGAGTTAGAGAAAGGCTCTTTCGTGGGTAACATTTCCAAAGACTTGGGGCTGGAGCCCCGGGAGCTGGCGGAGCGCGGAGTCCGCATCGTCTCCAGAGGTAGGACGCAGCTTTTTGCTTTGAACCCCAGAAGCGGCAGCTTGGTCACCGCGGGCAGGATAGACCGGGAGGAGCTGTGCGCTCAGAGCGCGCGGTGCTTGGTGAATTTTAACATCCTTGTGGAAGACAAAGTGAAACTTTTCGGGATTGAAATAGATGTAACTGATATCAACGATAATGCCCCCAAATTCCAAGCTGAAAAGGTGGATGTAAAAATTAATGAAAACGTCGCTCCAGGAATGCGTTTTCCGCTCCCAGAAGCAGTTGACCCGGATGTGGGCGTGAACTCCCTGCAGAACTACCAGCTCAGCCCCAATAAGCACTTCTCCCTAGCCGTTCAGAGCCATGCCAGTGGCGTCAAGTACCCGGAGCTGGTGCTGGAGCACGCGCTGGATCGGGAGGAAGAGGCACTACACCATCTGGTGCTCACTGCCTCTGATGGGGGTGACCCGCTCCGAACTGGCACTGTGACAATCAGTGTGACTGTCTTCGATACAAATGACAACGCACCAGTCTTCACCTTGCCAGAATACAGAGTGAGTGTTCCTGAGAACTTCCCTGTGGGCACACAACTGCTGACAGTCAGAGCCACCGACAGGGATGAAGGAGCCAATGGAGAAGTGACATATTCATTCCGAAAAATACCTGACATACAATTGTTGAAATTCCAGCTAAACAAAAATACTGGGGAGATAAAACTATTAGAAGATCTAGATTATGAAGAAACAGGTTTCTATGAACTAGAAGTACAAGCAGAAGACGGAGGAGCATATCTTGCAACCACCAAAGTGTTGATTACAGTAGAAGATGTAAATGACAACAGTCCAGATGTGACCATCACATCTCTCTTTAGCCCCCTGATGGAAAATTCACCGCTGGGGACAGTTATAGCTCTTCTGAACGTGCATGATCTAGACTCTGGGCAGAATGGACAGGTGACCTGTTCCATACCCAGAAATTTACCATTTAAGTTAGAAAAGTCCATTGACAGTTATTATAGACTGGTGACACATGGAGTCCTTGACAGGGAACAGGTATCCTCTTACAATATCACAGTAACAGCCACAGATGGAGGAAGCCCACCCTTATCAACAGAGACTTACTTCATCCTGCAAGTGGCAGATATCAATGACAATCCGCCCACCTTTTCTCATACCTCCTACTCGACCTATATCCCAGAGAACAACCCTAGAGGTGCCTCCATCTTCTCTGTGACTGCCGTAGACCCAGATAGCAAAGAGAATGCTCGGGTTATTTATTCCCTAGCTCAAGACACCATCCAAGGAGCACCCCTATCTTCGTATATCTCCATAAACTCTGACACAGGAGTCCTATATGCTCTGCGGTCCTTTGACTATGAACAATTTCGTGATCTGCAGATGAAGGTGATGGCCACTGACAGTGGGGACCCTCCACTCAGCAGCAATGTGTCACTGAGCCTGTTTATTCTGGACCAGAACGACAACACACCTGAGATCCTGTACCCTGCACCCCCCACAGATGGATCCACAGGTGTGGAGCTGGCACCCCGCTCCGCAGAGCCTGGCTACCTGGTGACCAAGGTGGTGGCGGTGGACAGGGACTCGGGCCAGAACGCCTGGCTGTCCTACCGCCTGCTCAAGGCCAGCGAGCCAGGGCTCTTCTCAGTGGGGCTGCACACGGGCGAGGTGCGCACTGCGCGTGCCCTGCTGGACAGAGATGCGCTCAAGCAGAGCCTGGTGGTGGTGGTGCAGGACCACGGCCAGCCCCCACTCTCGGCCACAGTCACTCTTACTGTGGCCATGGCTGATAGTATCCCAGACATCCTGGTTGACCTTGACAACCTGGAGGTTCCACAGGACTCTGATGCCTCAGGCCTGACCTTGTACCTGGTGGTAGCACTAGCTGCAGTCTCCTGTGTCTTCCTGGCCTTTGTCATCGTGCTCATGGCGCTCAGGCTGCGGCGCTGGCACATGTCACGTCTGCTACAGGTGTCAGGAAGCCGGCTGGCTGGGGAACCCCCCTCTCATTTCGTGGGTGTTGATGGAGTGAGAGCTTTCCTGCAGACCTATTCGCATGAGGTCTCCCTTACTGCAGATTCTCGGAAGAGTCACCTGATCTTCCCGCAACCCAACTATGCAGACACCCTCATCAGCCAGGAGAGCTGTGAGAAAAAGGATCCTTTGTCTTTATTAGATGATTCGAAGTTTCCCATAGAAGATACTCCTTTGGTTCCAGTGAGTTCCATTTTTTGTTCTTTTCCTTTCGATTAACAAACTGATTGGTTTCATTTTAAGTTTATAACATGATAGAAAATGTCAATTTTAATTTTTTGACTTTTCTGTTTCAGTGGCATTTGCTTCTTGCTAAAACACTGAAGAGCAGAACTTGATGGTTTTTAAAACTAATATTTTTTTTATTTTCCGGTAAATACTTAATCTTAATTAAAACCTACTGTCAGAAGACTAATGTGGTTAGCTTTGCAGTATCTTTTAGTTTTGATGAGTATAATACTGATGAGTATCTGTAAATTTGTGTGCTGTCCTCAGGAGACACATGTTGAAATCCAAGCTCTTTAGACAACTCTAGCTCTTGTTTTGAGGACAGATCTGGTAAGAATAGGTAGCCATTAGAAACAAATTCTTTAGTCTCACTGAAAACACAACCAAAATATAAGGCTTCTCGATGGCATTCTTCCCAAGAAGAAGGTCAATTTTTTTGTGGTTATATTTTTCAAATCATAGCTTATAATAATGACACTTCAATTAAATGTACTTTCTAGAATGATTTAAAAGTTTCAGTAATAACATATTAACAATTCACAGCATTGTTTACCTAAGTTTTTCCAAGTGTAATCATGCTTGATAACACTGAAGCATCTTTTTGCCTGTGATTCTAATTTCCTACTGTAATGCAGAAGACAATGCATTTTTTAAAAGATTTATTTTTACTTATGTATACAAAAATTGCAGTATAGGCTAGAGGTATATGTGGAGAGTCATGTGAGAGGATTCATCAGAGAGAGAATAGGGAGTAGAACAGGCAGATCTACTGAAATACACTGCTGAGGGGAACAGAGGGTGAGACAGGGGGGCGGGGTCTGCTGTGCCATGTGGGTCACCTGCATCATAGGAGATTGAACTCATGACACAATGGCTGGCAATAGCTTGATAGTTCTGAGACTTAACCCTTGTGAGTTTCCTAGATCAATGCATTTTTTAAAAGATTTATTTACTTATGCATACGGAGCTGGAGTGCAGGTCAGAGGTGCAGGGGTGGTGAGAAGATTCAGCAGAGACAGAGTGGGGAGCAGAACAGGCCAACTGACGAAGGACACTGCTGAGGGGAACAGGGGGTGTGTCAGGAGAGGTCACCTCAGGGGTTGGGATTGAACTCATGCTGAAGTGGCTTTTGCTTCTTAGTGCTGTGCTTTAACCCACTGTGCACCAGAGAGGGCATGATTAATGCCTTTTAATTTGAGTTTCCTTGATCAACGAGGACACTAGAGCGCTTATAAAAGGTGAACTTAATCAAATTTTTGGCTATGTTCTAACTGCATTTTTAGTTAAATTCTACAATCTCTGAAGCTGAAAATAGATTGGCCGACAGCGATAAGTAAGTTTCCAAGAACAAAGCAAGAAATGTGTGCTGAGAGTATTTCAGTGTCCCCTTAGTGAAGAGGAAAGAAACCTGATCTGAAATTGAAAATTCTTAACATAAGAGTCAAAATACACAAAGCGAATGATGTTATTTCTGCAAAGCGAATGATGTTATTTCTCAATATAAGCAGAATAGCACTTAAAAGTATTCTTTAAAAAAAAATGATGCGGAGCCCTCCCTGGTGGCGCAGCAGGTTAAAGCACTGCACTAAGAAGCTTAAGCCACTTATGCATGAGTTCGATCCCAACTGCCCTGGAGGAGATCCACATGGCACCGCAGACCTCTCCTGACCCACCTGCTGCTCCCCTCAGCAGTGTACTGCGTTGATCTGCCTGTTCTGCTCCCCACTCTGTCTCTGGTGAATCCTCTCACCCTCCGTATCTCTGGCCTGTACCCCAGTTCTGTATAAATAAATAAATAAATAAATAAATAAATAAATAAATAAATAACTTTTTTAAATGATGCGTAGATAAAAATTTAAAAATAAATAAATAAAAATAAATTTTAAAATGATGCGTAGAATTACTGATGAACTCTTTAGTGAACACAGTGATGTACTTGGTCTGATTTCTTTTATTACCAATCTTCTTATAAATTAATACAGTTGCATAAAGTCAACATAGTCTTAATGTCAAAATATGACAGCATAATTTTTTTTTCATTTTATTCAACATTGCTTCAATGACAGGTCTGTGAGAAGCAAGTACACTCTTTGGGTCATAGTTATGTACTCTTAAGTCATTGAAATGTAATCTTAAATTTGTGTCCACATGAATAATAACATAATATGTATTCATGTCAAATAACTGCATTATTTTGAAAAATACAGGTTTTGAAAAAGTACTTTTTGACCAGGTAGCTATTATAAACAAATATAATGAAATATACTTATTTAGAAGCAGTAAAGGATGTACTGAACGGTTGTAATGAATATAGCAGTAGTTGCATTCTAGTTACTAAATATGGGGGAGGGCAAATCATAACTTTGTAGCCAAATATATGCTATAATTTAAGGCAGAAAAAAGGTTTGTACTTGCTTCCGTACTTCCCTTTATGGATAGTTATTCTTAAAACTAACAGTAGGCCATGGGACAGGAAGTCTACTTTCACTCCAGATTCTCTTGTACTTTCTTGAATTTTCAAAGACATACTTTTATCTATTCAAAAACTATGTAAATGTTAGCACATAAAAAGTTTTGGTCATATGAAAAATGTTTCATGATAAAACATAATCACTGACGTCAGATCAAATATTGTAGCTGGTATCTTATCAATTTGCTCTTTAAAAAAAGAAGTCCTGAATCAGATGGGAGAAAATCTAGGCTGCTTCCACTCTTGGCCTCTGGGCGCCGCTGTCGGCCAGTGCAGGGCAAGCGCTGAAACCTGGGAATCTCCTGCCTCTAGCTTGGGATTTCCTGCCCAGTCACAACCGAGAAAGAAACCGCTTACACACTAGGGCACTGCCCGTACAGACTTGCCAGCACACACGGATTCCCAGTTCCAAGATTGGGGTCTCTGCTTGCTCCCGGCCTTTCCAGGGCGATAGTGTGCCCTTTTTCCAATTGGGAAAGCTGGGAGCCAGCCAAAACTAGAGCGCGCGATGGGAGGGAGCTGCACTCGGAGGAGCCGGGCCGGCCGGCCGCAGGTACTGTTTGCCTTCCTGCTGTCTTTGTTCTACTGCGCGCTCGGCGAGCCCATCCGCTACTCCATCCCCGAGGAGCTGGCCCAGGGCTCGGTGGTGGGGAACCTCGCCAAGGACCTAGGGCTCAGCGTCCGGGACGTGACAGCTCGGAAGCTGCGAGTTAGCGCTGAGAAGCTGCTTTTCCATGTAGACGCGGAGAGCGGGGACTTACTCGTGAAGGACCGAATAGACCGTGAGCAGATATGCAGAGAGAGAAGAAGCTGTGAGTTGCAGCTGGAAGCCGTGGTGGAAAATCCTTTAAATGTTTTTCATATCGTGGTGGTTGTTGAGGATATTAATGACCATGCGCCTCAATTCCACAAAGATAAAATAAACTTAGAAATTAGTGAATCTGTCAGCCCCGGGGTAGGAACAATTCTTGACTCTGCGAGAGATCCTGATATTAGTGTAAATTCATTGAGCAAATACCAATTAAGTCTTAACGAGTATTTCTCGTTGGTGGTGAAAGACAATCCAGATGGTGGCAAATATCCAGAATTAGTATTGATGAAGTCTCTGGACCGAGAAACGCAGAGCGCACACCACTTGGTCCTGACAGCTTTAGATGGCGGGAACCCGCCACGAAGTGGCACGGTGCATATCCAAATTCAAGTGGTGGATGCCAATGATAACGCACCTGTGTTCAGCCAAGAAGTGTACAAGCTCAGCCTTCACGAAAATGTGCCCCCAGGCACCTCTGTGTTGAGGGTGAGCGCAAGTGATCAAGATGAAGGCTTCAACTCAGAGATCACCTATTCCTTTCTTGGTACTGCCGATGAAGCCCAGCACGTGTTCCTTCTGGATTCCACTACAGGGAATATTATAACTCATCAACCCTTGGATTTTGAAAAAGTAGAAAGATATACCATGGATGTAGAAGCGAAAGACCGAGGGTCCCTCTCTACTCGGTGTAAAGTAATTATAGAAATCCTAGATGAAAACGACAACAACCCAGAAATAATCATCACTTCTCTCTCTGATCAGATTTTGGAAGATTCCCCTCTAGGAATAGTTGTGGCTCTCTTCAAAACACGGGATCAGGATTCCGGAGAAAATGGAGAAGTCACGTGTAATTTAAGTAGAGATGTTCCATTCAAGATTCATTCTTCTTCTAGTAATTACTATAAGTTAGTAATAGATGGGGCCCTGGACCGTGAACAGACCCCGGAATACAACGTCACCATTACAGCCACTGACAGAGGCCAGCCTCCCCTCGCTGCCAGCACTACCTTCACTCTGTTCATCACAGACATCAATGACAACGCGCCGGTTTTCAGACAGTCAACTTATCTGGTCCAAGTGCCCGAAAACAACCCTCCAGGTACCTCTATCGCCCAAGTCAGCGCCTCCGACCCCGACCTGGGACCCAACGGCCACGTCTCCTACTCCATCGTGGGCAGCGACCTGGGGCCCCAGGCGCT